AGCCAGGACGATTGGTTCGGAGGTGGGCAAGGTGGTGTTGAATAGAATGTCTTGCTCCTTAGGTCGTAGAAATATGTGGTCCAGGTGGATCTTCGGCTCGGAGAGGTGGTCCAGGATTTTCCCAAGGAATTCCGCTTACTCCCAGATGATGGTAAACATCGCTTGCGTGACCTGGAAGTTCGGTCGCAACGGCCAAAGAGTTTATAGGGCATAAAATGTGTTGCCCTGGATTCCACTCCGACGCCATCCGCCGTCACTTCGAGCGGACCACATGCCGTTCGTCCATTCCACGTTAAACCGTACCAAATTTTACGGCCAGCTAAAATCAAGCAGCCAACAATGTCGCGTAGATCCCCGGTGTCCGAAAATCCTGGCATCGATGAGTCCGACTTTGCGTCCTTTTCAGGTCCCAACTCTTCGCACGGTGCCCATGATATATCTTGTTTTATGGTAGGTGGCCACCCTGAAAAGAACCGGTACTATAAACTTCAGCTTTATTATCTAGGAACTCTGTAAGGATCGATCATAAACTAAACCTATCCTAAAACCTCCCATGTGAAGAGAGACAGAAGACGGACAATGGCATTTTTGGAAGAATGACCCATAGCCAATTTTTTCTGCTAGACGCAATAAACACGGAAAATGAATTTCCCGTAGTCTATCGCGAGTGTTCGTTAACACGTTCCCTGCCGCGTGGGGCGTATGCGCCCCACGCTGAACTTTCCGTTAAAGCCATTTGGTATTATCATTGTAAAATGAAGAATTTTTTAAAAATTCATTATGCAGTCAATTATGGGCATCTTAATACTATTGCTGATGCGCTCATTTGATCGTGGGGCGTATACGCCCCACGCGGCCTGAACGGAAAGTCTTCAAAAAACGGTCCGGCAGGGAACGTGTTAAGGTGAAGTGAAACACGTCGAGGAACTTGATCAACGTCGATAAAGAAGATTTTTCTAAATGCCTACGTTGCCGAGGTTCGTTTATATATTGACAGCTGGGTCGAATTATATTGGGTATTGTACCAAATGGCATATTCCACCTGTCGTTTTCGTACAATAATTATAAAGAAATCGAAGTAAAACTCCAGAAAACCTCTGGATTCATGCCTTCTGGGGCCCTAATTGACTGCTGAGGGACCCCCTGCGCCATATGTGATTTCCAGATCAATTAAATTTTCACTCCGAGACCTCGTATTCCCATCGTTTTGGCATAGAAACGCATACAACACTTTTTTTGCCTTTATCCCGTTCAAATGCGAGTTTACCGATTACCAGAGTGTTCTAAATTGTCGTAAAATTGTCCTGACCCTTTCGATTCTCATATCAGAGCCTTCGATAATTGTATATTGATCGAAATATGAGAGCTCGACGCCATTTTGGTTCTGGTCTGGACTGAGTAAAAAAATTTTTTGGAAAAATCCAAATTTTGAATGTGTCAGGACAATTCTTAGATGATCGGGAGTGATGTGTCAAAGTTTCGGACAGTTTGGTCTAATACCCTTAAAAAAAAGTGTTGTATTCGAATCGACTGATTTGAAGGATGTTTCACTTCCCCTTAAGTACTCGGAGTATGAGCTGGTATTGCTGGGAAATTAAACTTCTTCCTGACGATTGGCAAAGAAATCCGACGGCGACGTCGCGTCGCAGTCTTGGGGAACTTCTAGATAGCGTCTCGTATCATCCTAGGGGAATCCCGGAGCTTTCTAACTACCGGATGCGGACGGCATATTCAGAGCAGAATTACGTGAAAGAGCCCAGGTTCATTAAGGGGAAAAAAAGCACGCGGAGGCAGGAGGAGAGCTGATAATCGCCGATGCGCCTCCAGGAGGAAATGCCGAAGAGATGTGCATCCTCCATTGGCTTGCACCGAGTCCTGGCTAATTGATCGCGTATAGATATGATCGGGGTATCTCTTCAGGACTCATCTTCGATATGGACCGATGCCTCCTCGCGATGTGTCCCCGTGTCCACGGTAACCGCTTCATCTCGAACCCCAGTAATGCCGCGAGGCTGCTGAAAAAGCGGTATTATTTTCACGTTACGTTTCAGGATCCTCACACGCGCGGCCTGGAACGCGCACCAATCTGCGGTACACGCATGAAGAAGTGTCCCAGGAATGACATGTGCTTGGAAACTAAGGGCGGGAAGAGCCTTCGTAGAAATCGGGGAGGAGCGACACCCTCGAGGAGCCCCGAGAGATAATTCTGGAAATTGACTTTCGGCTCGCCACGGCTCGGGTCATCCGGAAATAGAGTCTCCGGTTTCGCGTTATCCTGCCTTGGTCCTTGGAGAAAAATCCAGGGAATCGATCACGGGATGGGGAATGTAGATTCACGCCCAGTGGGCTCGATTATAGTCGAAATTGGGTCGAATTTGAATTTCTGAGTCTTCGATAGGAGCTGCTTTCCGATCTTGTAAAAGTAGCGTTATCCTGCCTTGGTCCTTGGAAAAAATCCAGGGAATCGATCACGGGACGTGGAATGTAGATTCACGCGCAGTGGGCTCGATTATAGTCGAATTGGGTCGAATTTGAATTTCTAACTCGTCGATAGGAGCTGCTTTCCGATCTTGTAAAAGTGGCGTTATCCTGCCTTGGTTCTTGGAAAAAATCCAAGGACTCGATCTCGTGATGGGGAATGTAGATTTGCGCCCAATGGGCTCGATTATAGTCGAAATTGGGTCGACTTTGAATTTCTAGCTCGTCGATAGGACTTGCTTTCCGATCTTGTAAAAGTAGCTTCGACCATGGGGCCTGGGAGGTTTCTGGTTTCGCGTTATCCTGCCTTGGTTCTTGGAGAAAAATCCAGGGAATCGATCTCGTGATGGGGAATGTAGATTTGCGCCCAGTGGACTCGATTATAGTCGAAATTGGGTCGAATTTGAATTTCTAACTCGTCGATAGGGACCTGCTTTTCGCTCTTGTAAAAGTAGCTTCGACCATGGGGCCTGGGAGGTTTCTGATTTCGCGTTATCCTGCCTTGGTCCTTGGAAAAAATCCAAGGACTCGATCTCGTGATGGGGAATGTAGATTTGCGCCCAATGGGCTCGATTATAGTCGAAATTGGGTCGACTTTGAATTTTTAACTCGTCGATAGGACTTGCTTTCCGATCTTGTAAAAGTAGCTTCGACCATGGGGCCTGGGAGGTTTCTGATTTCGCGTTATCCTGCCTTGGTCCTTGGAGAAAAATCCAGGAAATTGATCTCGTGATGGGGAATGTAGATTTGCGCCCAATGGGCTCGATTATAGTCGAAATTGGGTCGTATTTGAATTTCTAACTCGTCGATAGGACCTGCTTTCCGATCTTGTAAAAGTAGCTTCGACCATGGGGCTTGGGAGGATGTTTGCGATCTTGTACGGTAAATCAACCTAATCATGTGCTCGAGAAAGTCAGAGTGACGAGGTATGGTGATTCTTATGGTTGTAGACGGATTCCCTCTGGTGCTACCCTTCTTCGGCCTATTTACTTTTTCTGGAAGAGCCTGCCAGCCGAATGAGTTATCGCATAGCACTCCAAGGACCCCCTCAATTACCCTAATGAGCAGAGACGCCAATACCGGGCAGGCTTTTCAGGGTACACGTCTTATTTTTAAACGAAATACTCGTGTCGACGAATTTGCGGATGCCACCGCTCTGGGTCGTGTGATTGTCGGCAAAGCAAATCGAGAATACTTCTACCATGCCGTAGGAATTCCGGCAGGCTTTCGGAATTTCGCCGTTTTCTTCTGGGATGTTACTCGGCATTGATCTGCTTCGGTTGCGATGCCTCCCAAAAACTGCGAACGGGAACTCGATGCCCTCGATGCCCTTTTATATTGCCTGGTTGGTAACCCTGTTTAGTTCCTTGGCGCTGGCGTCGCTTCAAAAATAAAGAGTTAGTTGAGTTCGAACAGTAGACGTAACAGGCTGTTTTGATTCCCTCCTAAATTAACCGCCCCTTTTAACAATATCTTGACGTTAAATCGGCAGGTAATAATATTTTCTTTTTTTTTTCATTTTTTTAATGTTACTTCTTTAAAGGTTCGTGCCGTTACGCGAGTAAGTCAGTATAAAAACCCTGAACCTTTATAAATGTACTAGGGCTTGGAAATGGTACTTACGATGTATACGGTGTTTATGCGCTGTTAATGAAAACATTCTTCAACCCGCACTCTTGGAAACTGCTACACTCTGCTCTGATTTGATTCATTGCTTATAAATATGAAGACGTTATTAAAATAAAAGTCCAAACAACGTTTCAAATCCTGCCACACACGGTGATAATCCATCACTTACCGTTTCTCGAGTTTCTGACGTTTTTGCCACTAGTTCCTGTCAAAATGACAGAGCAGCCTTCTCGAGAAAAAGAAAGTACTCGTGGCAAGGCATTTATTTTCGTCTTTGCGCGCTTCATTCTGGTGGAGTGAATTCGAAAGCGCGAGAGAAGTACCAGAACGCGCCGCAAGATGGCGGGACGCTACCGATTCTTGATGAAGGATTCAACTGGAATGTAATACACAATATTATCGACGTAGAATCAGACATGATTACGTATCTCCTATTTCTTAAGAAAAAACAAATACACGCGGTATTCCATTTCAAATTTCCCTTCGCCCATTAATGGGGTAATGAATTAATTTCTGAAAATGTTGGAATTCCTCTCATGTAGCTGCAAAGTTCTGGAATATTGAATAATTATCACGGACGCTTCAATATGTAATATGTAAACCACAAAATGGTATATCTAGTTCTCACCTGTTAATTTGATTATTCAAAAATTCCTTGAAAGCTGGAATTATAATTGCTGATGAGCGAACCGTGGCACCATCTTTCAGCGTGTTCTGGAACGGCTAAAGTCACGGCCCTGTAAGTTGCGAGCTCACGTCTCTTCTCGGTGATATACTTTTTCATTTATCACCGGTAGGGGGACTCCATATCTGTCGCAAGGTCGGCAAGGTAGTTTTGTAAGCGAATCGATCCTTTTGAGCAGTGTTGCCAAGCTTACAAGTTATTCCGGTTCGCGAGAATTCATAACAGAGGTGCGACACGATCGAAAAAAGTAGCGGCTCCGCGACGGAAATTTAACGGAAATTTTACACACGTGGGTCATGTGTCTTTCGCCAACCGGAAGTATGTATTCTGCTGGACATTCCGTGTCCATTTAATCGTGACTTTTCGAAATTTCGCCGACTCGTGAATTGAAAATCGATGTCTTACTGTGCTACGTGGTCTTACACTATTCGTATCGTTCCGTGTTTATTCGTATTTTAATGTTATAAAGTGTAGTCCGCGCAATTTTTTTTCTGTTATGCAGACTCCTAACGGTTACTGGTTGTCATGGGTTTTATAATTTCAATGCTGATTCGTTTGCTGTTTAGATTACCAGCATGAGTTTCTGGCCATGGAGAAGGTTGCGCGTTACCCCGCTGCGAGCGCTGGCAGCGTTTCTCCTCGTCGGTATCCTCTTCTGGTACAGTTTCAATCGTCCAGAAATTCCTCGACAACCCTGCAGTGTCCCTGAAGAGTTTACGGAAAAGCTTCATGAATTGACTTACAGGTTTGTATTATTAATTCACGTTTTATTTTTTTATACTTTCCTTATGAAGAACAGAATCCCAGAAGTGTAGAGATCCCTTCCATATCGATTGCGGATGAAGTTACCAACGATACGTTCTTCAGAGGTTAAGGGAAGTGTAGATCCGCAATTTAGTGTAGGGATAAAATCAAAGTTTGAAAAACAAAAACATTGTGCTAATTGGAGGAATGTAAAATAATTGATTAGGAATTCCGGAGTGAATCAAGAATTAGATAAAAGTAGAACCGCAGAAATGATTGTTTGCTCAACAAAAGTGGCACGATATGTCTTAGTTTTTAATTATCTTAAACACCATCATTATTATTCCTTTTTGCAAGGAATGCTTAAAATAATGATTACAAGAGGAGAATGTGAAATTTAATTTGGTGGAGTGGTAAGAGGTTTTATGATTGGATTGGTGATGTTACTTTAATGTCTTCTTTCTTATGATCTTAGGGCCCACTTAGTGCTGGCGAAGCTGGGGCTTGTGCACTTTCTGTGTTTTGGAGGTCTCTGGGGTCAGGCTCGAATAGGTCGAGCATTGCCCTGGGCTCGTAAGGTCGAGTTGTGTCTGATGGATACTTTGCGAGACGACGCCATGATAACCAAAGCTTTCCGAGAAGTTGGCTTGAGTGCTACGTATTTGCACGCAGCTGGGATCTACCGTGTTCAGGAAAACGAAGTTGGCGATGATGCTCCCAAAGTGGAGATCGTCGTATTTGAAGAGGACTCCGTGGTGAGAACAAACTTTACAGCCTAATCGCAATTACAAGTTTATTCTGGGAAAATGCAGAAGCTCAAATTCAGCCAAAGAAGTCGTAGCGTTTAAACACCGTAAGGAGAGATGCAGGAATAACTGAACTTCCTAACTCTGGAAACCAGAGCGCCGCAAGTTAAGGGAAGTTCTACAGAAAAGTTCGAACATCGTTGGAGCTTTAATTTTGTTATTGCAGTTAAACGTGTATCACATTTTCGCAGGGAGACTCGGAGGTCAAAATCTAGGAATCCGAAATGTTAATTAGTGGGCTTAGTTCTTTGAATTTTTTGAACTTTTATATTCTCTTGGTTAAGTGGCACTTTTTCTTTTTAGACTCAGATGGTAAGGCGAGTTGGTTGGACCAGAAGAGTCTTACCTCCGGATTGCGAGCTTTCGCCAAGCTTGCAATGCTTTCCGCCTCAATTGGCGATTCCTCCCTTACCAACGAAACAATTTGGAGACCACGTTGTTCCGGTACCAAGAGAAGGTATCGAGTTGCAGAAGTACCATTATCCCAACGATTGGTGGTTGGAAGTGAAGCCCACGGATTGCGTTGAACATCCGCAAGAGGATACGTAATATCGAGTTCAACTAGAATTAATATTTATTTGCTGGGCGTCGATACTTCTCGTCAAATATCTCGGACAAGACGACATTGGACAATTCACTGCCCATACTTATGATAAGTTTATTACATAAGTATGCGATGCGCTGGAAACAATGTATAGATGAAGTTCGAATTAGATCAGATACATATCTGGCAAGTTCACGTAATAACTTGAGCGTACAATAATGAGAGCTACTCATTTTTGTTTCATTACTAGAAGATTGCATTTACGGGTTTAGTCAGCACGCTATTAGTGAGATTTAACGAATATTTCTACGCAACATTGATGTATTAATTGTAGCCAAATGATGTGGCATCATTAATGTTCTTTGCAATTAATTATTGTGAGACTCACTATCGCTATCAAAACTTAGGAGTCATTTGTTTTTACTGTATGTACACCCTCGATTTAAGCTATGCACATGGATATCTGAATTGTACAAGCTGGACAACATTTTAATTCACTTATTTTTGTATGTTGTATTTATTGATGTACTAGTCACAATAGTGAATTTTAAAAGTACTTTAGTAAGTTTTCTAATTTAGGATGACTATAAACGTTTAGTTTATATATTAATTTAACTAATTGCAATCACAGTGCTTACAGAATAGGAGGTAGAATGTTTTTTGTGCAAATTTGTAGAGGAAATCATTTGAGAATTCAGAAATAACATTTTCATATATTCATGCGTCATACTAAATGACGAGAAAACAATATGAATTACCAACAAATAAATAGGATATGAACGAGGGACCATCCCGAATGGTCAACTCCCAGAATGGTGTAAACAGACCATTCTCAAAAATGAGATATCACTTCCGTACTTAATAATTGCTGTAAGATAAACCCATTTATGTACGCAGAGGTAGGAGAGGTTCAAAATATTGTTCTCTTTACGCAGCTCGTATAAAACGGCGCTATCATTGAATTTCATTCACAAAAAAGTATTTTTTCGAAAGCGTTCTGTCGTGGTACCACAAAACGAGCGAGCCGATTGCAGTGATAAATTCCTATCAGTTACTATTACGTAATGACCACTATTAAATCAAGTCAGCCGCATGTGGTAAATTATAACTTTTGTATAAAAAAAAAAAAAAACTGATCATTCTGATCTTTCAGAGAATAAGTTTTAAGACTTCCTGTGCATTAAATCCTAAAAAGGAACGACTTCAGGGCTAAATACTTAAATATAATCGTACTCTAATTTAGCTTAACAAATTGTTATCGTTAGGCTTTGTACGAAATTTCAAGATATGTTTAAGCGAGTCCTTGTATGTTTAAGGTGAAGTGAAACATCCTTCAAATCAGTCGATTCGAATACAACACTTTTTTTTAAGGGTATTAGACCAAACTGTCCGAAACTTTGACACATCACTCCTGATCATCTAAGAATTGTCCTGACACATTCAAAATTTGGATTTTTCAAACAAAATTTTTAACTCAGTCCACACCAGAACCAAAATGGCGTCGAGCTCTGATATTTCGATCAATATACAATTATCGAAGGCTCTGATATGAGAATCGAAAGGGTCAGGACAATTTTACGACAATTTAGAACACTCTGGTAATCGATAAACTCGCATTTGAACGGGATAAAGGCAAAAAAAGTGTTGTATGCGCTTCTTTGCTGAAACGATGGTAATACGAGGTCTCGGAGTGAAAATTTAATTGACCTGGAAATCACAGATGGCGCAGGGGGTCCCTCTGCAGTCAATTAGGCCCCCAGAAAGCATGAATTCGGGGGATTTCTGGAGTTTTACTTCGATTTCTTTATAATTATTGTACGAAAACGACAGGTGGAGTATGCCATTTGGTACAATATTCAATGTAATTCGATACAGCTGTCAATATAAAAACGAACGTCGGCAACGTAGGCATTTAGAAAAATCTTCTTTATCGACGTTGATCAAGTTCCTCGACGTGTTTCACTTCACCTTAAACTACCACAATCGACATAAGTCAAGTGGCAGCTGTTTGACACGTGCCATTTTTTTTTTACATAAAATACGTATCTTCATTTCATGCGGTAATATTACTCCCTTTTCTACCCTCGAGATAAGACTGGACAATCGATTCTTGTTGGCGCTAAAATACGATGGAAATTGGTCGTAGATGGGAAATCTCCTCATCCGCCAACGTAACGTTTATCCCATTTATCACGATCGTCAATTTAGTGGCCTTCGATCGAATATCTCGTATATATTCGAACATAACGCTTCAATCTACTTCGGGTTTCGACGCTGTCGAGAATTCTTGAATCTCGAGCCAGTTTGAAATTGCGATGCGAATCTTTTATAAAATTTCTTTACACTGCAAGTAAATATTTGCAAATTCGACCTCGAACTTGTTGCCATTTGTTAATAGAGGAAGTAATATATGCAGCGTATTCCTCAGTTTCGAAAGTGACGGAAATCACGTCATTTTCTTGCGAAATGTATATCACACGTTTCAAAGGATATAGAATAAAGCTGATTTAATATTTACGTTTGCTCGGTAAGATTAATTATCCTTCCCTTATGAATGGAACATTGATGGTTACTAATGTATATTAAAAGTAGGGTTTGCGATAGGATTTTATTTTTTGGATTATTTATTTTACCTCCTTTCTCGAATTGGGAGAGTATGGGGGATTATAGGACGTGTGAGTATGTCCATTTGAAGTAGATCTAAGGTTGTATAGTGTTTTCTCAAGAAACCTGCCGAGGATGACAAGTGGACACGTTTTGGCAGGGTAAATACTCGAGTAGGAGGTAAAGTAAATAGTTAGATGGAACAGTTACGAGCAGCTGTCGAGAGAACCCTTTAGAAGATTGTTCCACTCTCGGTAAATGTTCCCTAGATCCCGGATTCGTATTCGAGTGGTTATTGCAGACTTCAATAGCAAAAATGACTATCCGATTCCCTAAAACTTGGCACGATTATTCTACTATCGACTTATTCATTTTTAATTCGCGAAAACAACTAATTTATATTATTAAACGATTCCCCAAAACTTGGCACGATTATTCTACTATTGACTTATTCATTTTTATTTCGCGAAAATAAATAATTTATATTATTAAACGGTTTCCTCAGCGATTATTTTGCAATAAAAATATCGTATTCAAGGGGATATTGCAGACTTCAATAGCAAAAATGACCATCAGATTCCCCAAAAATTGGCACGATTATTCTCCTATCGACTTATTCATTTTTAATTCGCGAAAACAAATAATTTATATTGTTAAACGGGGTTCCTCGGTGATAATTTTGCAATAAGAATATCGTATTCGAGTGGTTGTTGCAACCTTCAATAGCAAAAATGGCCATTCAACTCCCAAAAAATTAGCACGATTATTTTCTTGTCGACTTATTCATTTTTATTTCGCGAAAACAAATAATTTATATTGTTAAACAGTGTCCTCGGCGATTATTTTGCAATATGAATATCATATTCGAGTGGTTGTTGCAACCTTCAATAGCAAAAATGGCCATCTAACTCCCAAAAAATTGGCACGATTATTTTCTTGTCGATTGATTCATTTTTTTTTCGCGAAAAAAAATAATTTATATTGTTAAACGGGGTTCCTCGGTGATTATTTTGCAATATGAATATCGTATTCGATTGGTTGTTGCAAGCTTCAATAGCAAAAATGGCCATTCAACTTCCAAAAAATTGGCGCGATTATTTCCTTGTCAATTTATTAATTTTTATTTCGCGAAAACAAATAATTTATCTTATTAAACGGTTTCCTCGGCGGTTATTTTGCAATTAGAAGGTACGTGGAATATTTCGTTCAATTTTATTAATTTAATCGGATCAATTGTTATTCGAAGCTCCTTACCCTGTCATCCTCCTATCACTATATTTCACTCTTTTTTGTATGTTTGTTTTTCTTTTTTTCCGATTGGAATACTCCAGTAATCTTCCTGAAAGATTTCGTTGCGGTGCAGAAACTGTTTTCCCGAAAAAGATCTGCCTTGACTCTCGTATAAAAGAAGCCTGGAAACGATTCAAGTTTTCTCTTAAGATTCGCGCACAATGGAAGGAGCGTTCTTCCTAAATTCATTACCTTCAATCGGGTTTAAGGTTTTAAGCTCTTTCCGGTTAATAAAGTTTAATTGACCAATTACCTAGTAAACCTGATACCGATGCTCGGTTTCAAAGGAAATCGTTAAATCAAAATAATGAATGAATTAGTTACGGTACTTAGTAGTGAAAAGCGATCCTTTTAAGGAAATAGTGGAAAATTAATGCTAAATAGCGATTAGGGTACAGTTATGTTTAAAAGCTTCTTTGTCTCTAAACTAATATTCTTAATGTAGGATTTTTCCATTTTTCACGTCATATGATATTAACAGAGCGGCAAGAATAATGAGTACATTTCTCTTCGTTACAAGATGGAGGTGGGAATTTCAAAGAAATGTCGATGTGAGTAATTGGCAATTTATGTCGTAATAATTTCTCAGGTCCATAATTAAGAACCCGGTGAGTGGTTAGGGAAAGATTAAAACTCGAGGACTGATAACTGCAGTTCCCGCTGTCGCGTACACCTGTCGGAATTAGGTCTTTTCGAATTAGATGGGATTTAATTAAAAGTACAAAGGTAGGAAAGTAAGTTTCCCACTTTCACGGGGAATTGTCTCGCTCGCTGGTCAAGGGTCGAAGTTAAAAGTCGGATGTAAAAAGTGAAAGCAACGGTTCTTTATCTCGAAATCAATTTTCTTCTTTCTTCCCTGTTTGATAATCTTCGGAGAGGACATTTATTTCCACTCTTTGAGTTTGACGTCGACGCCGGCCAAAGAAACAGCGTTGACTTTTTTCAGTCTTTGAGCGCGTACGAGGAATTTTTTTTCTTTTCGTCAGATGCTAATTTCTCTGTACTTCACCTAGAAAGGCTTGGAAAGATCATTGGGACAGTGCAAGTGAACTGGTGGGGAAAGTATAAATGGAGGTGTCTCGGATGATGAACTTCCGAGTCATTCTCTAGCGGTCCAAACGGTTCTCCAGTGAGCTCTTTCTGGGTCGGAGAACATGGCGAACAATTTACCATTCTTTTTCGTACAAACCGAGAAAAATAATATAAAAAGGACAAATTAAGCGACAGTACACCAGCCGATTAAAAACGAGATCTTAAACACCCTCAATCCCGCTATTTAAATACTTTATTAAAAGTGTTCAGTGAAATTAAAAAAATAATTTGCGGTTAACAAGTATTGTTGCGAACGTTGCTTGACTTAAGTCATCAGAAAGCCAAATGAGTTTTAAGGGATCAATTTTCAATCTGAGTGGAATTTTGCCATATTTCAGTGAGTCCAAAAGAAGAGTGACAAGACTGATGATGATTTTCAGTAATTGTTAATGATACCAAAAATGAGAGAACACGTGAGTATAACGCAAAAGTTTATTTTCTGGCTGGAAAGCAGAAATGCTTTCATTATTTTCAATCCATTGGTTTCCGACTGTCTCGTTATTTCTTTTAATAAAAGTGTGCAAACAAAGGGAAAACCGAGGAGGTAAACGACAAAGAGGATGGCCGGCCTCGTTTCTCTTGGAACTCTTCGGCGCTTTCTGTTTCTGGTCCTCGGAAACGCCATAAGTGTAATAGCGTTTTTCTATTCGCAGTTAGTCGTTAACCTCGAGTGAAAATTCCCTCCTTTCCTCTCAGAGTCTTTGTCTACTTTCCGCCGAAGCAACCGAGGAGAAACGTCCGCGGGGAAATGTTAAATAAAAGAGAAGTCGGTCCCGAAAGGAGGACGCGGACTTTTCAAGAATAGCGCCATTCAGGAAGACATTACTCAAAGTCAATTGCACCGTGTCATCCTGCAATTATTAACTATCACCTGCCAGCAAGGATGCTTTTACGATACCGAAACGCCAGATTTATGCTCCCCACTTGACGATCATTCAAGTACCCCGCGTGCTCATTAAACACACTTAAATGAAGCGTTTTAATTTTAAAAATCACCCCACTTCGAACTAACCCGCAAAATTCATTTGCATAAATTTTCCTTCTACTGAAATTCGCAAGATTGAATTATATGGCGCCTTGATAACCGTCTAAAAATGGACTGAAATAAAAAGGCACTTGACGATCTTTCAAATATCCCGCGTGCTTATTAAACACACTCAAATGAAGCGTTTTAATTTTGAAAATTCACCCTACTTCGAACTAACCCGCAAAATTCATTTGCATAAATTTTCCTTCTACTGAAATTCGCAATATTGAGTTATATCGCGCTTTGATAACCGTATAAAAATGGACTGAAATAAAAGGGCACTTGACGATGTTTCAAATATCCCGCGTGCTCATTAAACGTACTTAAATGAAGCGTTTTAATTTTGAAAAATCACCCCATTTCGAACTAATCCGCAAAGTTCATTTGCATAAATTTTCCTTCTACTGAAATTCGCAAGATTGAATTATATCGCGTTTCGATAATCGTCTAAAAATGGTCTGAAATAAAATGGCACCGTTTAGCCTAAACGAGGGTAATTCGCTTTTAAAAATACTTAAATGAGTACAATTTGAAACAATATCGAGATCAGTCGTTACCCGATACCGAGTTAACTTTTATCTGATGCATAATTCGCCTTAAGTGACCTTTGCAGAAAGCAGTGGCGAATATAGCCGATGTCGTTTTCAGGCCATCGCGATTTTCCTGCTGGTTGCCATGGTCGGGGAAGTAGTCCAAATACTTGATGCCTACAAGTCTATAAAGCCGTTCAAGTTTTATCGTCCAAGATCACGCTACAGGCCGCGTTGGCACTCATTCCCGAGGCCGGCGAAATATCATTCCAAGAGAAGACCGCCCTCTCGTTATCGAGGTCCACCTTACTCCAGGTGAGGAAACTTCGTGGGAAACGTTCTTCCTGAAAATGTCGAACTTTCTCCCATCACCGATCCCGAAATTTGCATTCCCTGCTCCACGTGTTCCCGAGTTAGTTCCGTATGCACATGCAGCATCGCTTGCAACCTTGTAGTCTAATGTGGTCGATTAATTTACAGGGACCTCGTTGCACCCTGGCATGACCTAGACTTTAAGGGGAAATCGATGGAACCTTCCGGGTAGTTTTTCGCGTTACGAGATTCTCAAATTCCCGTCCTATTTTCATCTCAAGATAACAATCCATTCCGTGGAATGTTCATAAACATTTTTGAATTCATTTCATAGACATTTTTACATTCATTTCATAGACATTTTTACATTTATTTCATAGACATTTTTACTTTCTTTTCATAGACATTTTTACATTCATTTCATAGACATTTTTCATTTCATTTCATATTTCATTTCATAGACATTTTTCATTTCATTTCATATTTCATTTCATATTTCGTTTCATATTTCGTTTCATATTTCGTTTCATATTTCGTTTCATATTTCATTTCATATTTCATTTCATATTTCATTTCATATTTCATTTCATATTTCATTTCATATTTCATTTCATATTTCATTTCATATTTCATTTCGTATTTCATTTCGTATTTCATTTCATATTTCATTTCATATTTCATTTCATATTTCATTTCATATTTCATTTCATATTTCATCAAATTTTCATTTCATAGACATTTTTACGGGATTTTTGTGTCGCTTCAAAATAGTAGAATTAGTTATTTTATCGATTTACACGTCCGCCTGAAAATAATTCGCTGGAAATTGACTGGGTAATGGAGTTTCTTGCTGGAGGTCGTGATTAGTTTTATCTTCTACCTCTGAAATATTAATATTTCGCCCGTAAGACGGTAAGATGACTAATCGTGCACCTTGATCTAGGTACCCTTCGCGTTACGGAAATAACATCGATTATCACGATGACCAGCCTTACACGATAGAGATAGAACTGCCAAGGCGCGAAGATAAGAGTAGATTTTACAAAAGCGGGTCTTATCATCGGAGTCACGATCGCGGGATTGTCCGTGATTACGTCGAGGATGAGGATTACCTTGATGACGACGGCGACGTGGAGTCCAGGGTGTTCCGCGCCGGGAAAAAGAAAGTACGAATTAAAGTAAGTTTATGGTAAAACAATGGACATTTCTGGATTCTATTTGAAAGAAATAAGCCTGAGAGATGTTCATTTTTTTATCTATAGACAGAGAGCACGGATAGAAATAATTGATGAAAATATTCAATCCGAGTTATCATTGAATATTGATACTATTTCAGGTAATAAAGGGTCAGAAGCCTAAATTGCGCATTAAGATCTCGCGATCCGACGACGATCTCGATAATGAGGGGTCGAATGTAACGAGCACCACCTCGTTATCAGGGTCCGTTGTACCTACGAAATTGGAGCAGCTCGAAGGACCTTCTGAAAGCGACTGGATCCCATTGAATCCGTTTCCACCGTTTCCGGAACATCTTCGAGGAGCCTGAATACTTCTACCGTATCGACCTCCTTAAATGTCTTCGAAAGTTTCGACATTTTGTCCGGAAATCCCAGTCTGTTAATAGAGCTCGCTTAAGTACGGACATAAGGAAGGCATTTCGGCGAGTTAGTTTAACAAAAGAAATAAGACGCTAATACTTACCAATTTTAACTACTTTAGACGCCTCGTAGGGAGACTTTTGATTAAACAGTAGACATTAAATTGTCGTTAATAAACTTTCTTACAAGTGACAGACTGCAGCTTAAGACTAACATAAATTAAAATAAGTTAGAAGAACGAGGAGTATTTTTCAATTTTCCACGTCCGAAGCTCCATTTTGAAGCTTTCTCAAGGATACGAATAAATAAATATGTATACTCGAAAGCTGACTTGTTTTAAAATATATTCTATTTTTTTAGACGTAATAAGTTAGCCTAGGAAAAGTAGGAATTGAAACGAACGAGCGGGCACTTTGCGATTCAGTTTTATTTCTAACATAATAGTCAACGGACATGTAATAGTAATAAAGAAAAATAAACAAATGATCGCGTTAATAGTAATAATGTACAGTTTCTTTGTAACATGGTTTTTTGTTCACAACATCGATAACACATTCGCGAACAACGCGCGACTCGGGGCGGCTTCGCTCTCGGATCGGATTGTTTCCGGAGCGTTTTCTCTTCCGCGCGGCCTCAAGTTCCCAGGGAATTTTCAAACCGAGTCCTCCTTTTTCTCTGCCTGGAAACTCTTTCGGAAAGCCTCGAAATTCCAGTCCGAGGTCGAAATCCCTGAAAGTTCGCCGAGAAGCCTAGTCGCTCTAAGGCCCCAATCGTCCAGAAACTCGCGACATTTTTCTCACACTTTTGCGAAGGAAAGTTCACACTTTGCAAATTAACCCAGTTCTTTTTAACCCGCGAGGTACCGTCGAACCCTTTACCCGGAAGTCGAGGTACGAGGAATAGCTCCATTTTTATGTTAACCGATATCGAGCCTTCGCAAAATAACCGCCCTACGCATTTCCAGTTTCAGGGAATCCCAGATCAATCTTGCTTAATCCAAGGCTGTCGAAAAGGCAACCTCGAGGTCTTCGAGGCTACCTTTCCAAGGCTGGCCGTCATATTTTGACAAATCGACGTTTCGGCATTTCATCGGACCCTTTCAATCACAATTTCCAGGAGTTCGAGCCTCGATAAGCGCGCGACGCTCTTCGCCGCCATCTTGGATGCTAACGAAAGAGGCGCCCCTTTTTCCTCATACTTTGGCAGACGAATTCCACTCGGCCTCTGAATAAATCTCCGCAGAATCAAGCCAGAACCTCGATCCCAGCTGGTTTCGTGCCAATATCGACATAGGATGATATTTCTTGGCCGAAAAACGAGGCGAACGTCCCGGGGATGGACAATGGCTGCCTAAGTGTGTACCCGGTACCGGAATTAGCGACTTATTTGATCTATTTTCGATTTTTTCCCGCCGATTAAAGCGACTCTCGGTTTTAGGGAAGCCTGCTGGGACCTGGGACCCGATTCTCAAGTTCATCAAGATTTTCTCGCATACGAATAGATTTGCATGAATAATTTCGCATGCGAATAGATTCGTATAAAGAATGTCTCATACGAATAGATTCGCATAAAGAATGTCGCATACGAATACATTCGCATGAAGAATTTCGCATGCGAATAGATTCGCATGAAGAATGTCTCATACGAATAGATTCGCATGAAGAATTTCGCATACGAATAGATTCGCATGAAGAATTTCTCATACGAATAGATTCGCATGAAGAATGTCATACGAACAGATTCGCATGAAGAATGTCATACGAACAGATTCGCATGAAAAATTTCGCATACAAATAGATTCGCATGCAGAATTTCGCATACGAATAGATTCGCATAAAGAATGTCTCATACGAATAGATTCGCATGAAGAATGTCTCATACAAATACATTCGCATAATGAATTTCGCATACGAATAGATTCGCATGAAGAATTTCGCATACGAATAGATTCGCATGAAGAATGTCTCATATGAATACATTCGCATGAAGAATGTCATACGAACAGATTCGCGTGAAAAATTTCGCATACAAATAGATTCGCATGAAGAATTTCGCATACGAATAGATTCGCATAAAGAATGTCTCATACGAATAGATTTGCATGAAGAATGTCTCATGCGAATAGATTCGCATGAAGAATGTCTCATACGAATACATTCGCATGAAGAATTTCGCATGCAAATAGATTCACACGAAGAATGTCTCATACGAATAGATTCGCATGAAGAATGTCTCATACGAAAACATTCGCATGAAGAATTTCGCATACGAGTAGTAAGACCAACTCTTGAGGACTCTTCGAATTGGGTTCGTGGGAATGACTCGTAGGTAATCCGTATGCGATTACGAAGCAACATTGTCGCTTGTCTGTGAAATGTCCGAACCAATGAAATGTTCGCTTTAGCAATTGTTTATTTTTTCTCCTGTCATTCCCTATATGGTTATATTGATCTTCAACCCCCTCATAAAAACCAATAGTTTGATGTTACTTTCGTATAGGAATGATCTCTTTCGCATGCTATGACCCATGGTATTATTGGAATACGAAATCGCGGTGATCACTCAAGAATACCAACTGTTGAAAGTCCTATACGAAAATGAGATTTCGTATGCGAAAGTTGATCGTATGCAGTCGAGAATCGGGTCCCTGGACTGGTCGACCGAAATTGCTTTGCGATGGATCGAACCTGCCCTGCGATGGATCGGATGGATGCAGGATCGCTTGGTGGTCGTTGGGCCTCTTGAAATTATGGTTGGTGGTCGAGGATGTCCATAAAGTTCCGTTCCACGTCCAGTCGGAAGACGATAATTCTCCGGCTAGCGGTAGACAGAAATGGCAAGAGATATCACGGCGATAACGACTTCTGGACGTAGGCTCGGAGGTTTATGGTCACAGGCCAAGACTTCCTTCGGTTCGACCAGGTACACTACCAATGGCCACGCGATTTTGTCGTTTCGGGGGAAACGCCTATCTGGGTCGATTGGATGCAACTCCAGATTTGATGGAACGCTTTGATGGAAGGTTTGATGAAATGGCGGGGTCGCCCATAAGGGTATCTAACAAGGAAACATTCCCAAGTGTGTCATATCGTTATCAAATTTGTTGCGAAACAATGTCAGTCTCTTAAACTGTTTTTTAAATTTATTTTTAAATAATTGCATGTTATGAAAACCGACATTTTGAGGAATTACCGATTTATGTACAATGAATTGGTCACGATATCACCCAATAAAGATATTCGGGATATACCCATATACCACCTACATCCATTCTTTTCAACCGATGTATCAATGTTTATTGGCAAAAGGCAAAAAACACGTATCTCCTCATTTTTCGCGAGCAATCACATGGCGTAAGTGGAAGTTAAGTAGGCGTGCTTGTTTAACAGATATTAGAAAAAAATTTCCGACGAAGGGTGGTTCACCCCCTTGAGGTGGTGTAGCATTCCTGGACAGTATTGTGTTTTCACCGTTTTTATACAGAATATGTTTATGCCAAGTTTCGTAGGAATTCCTCTACTGCTTCTACGGAAATTAATATAAAAATCGAATTTCCGTCAAACTTATGGGGGTTGTTTCACCCCTTAAATGTGGACCATTGCGGATAAAAAAAAAACACGTGTCGCTTAGATTTTTGTGTTCATCAACGTATATGAAAATCAATAAAATCGGCAGCGAACATTTGGGAATGTTTCCTTGTAAGTGATATATTGACAATGTTATATTAATCCGACGTTTTTTCGGACTTGTCGGACAATCGTCACCACCCTTTCGCAGGGCAGATTCGCTCTCTGGATACAATGTTCAACTTCAACGTTATTTAAAATCCCGAAAACAGCGTCGGAATGAAGGAAAATCGATAACTGGAATTTGCAACGAGGTGAAAAAATACTACGCTGTTCGTTTTTCCTTTAGTTTCAACCGTGCTTTCGTGACCGATCTTTAAGGTGAAGTGAAACACGTCGAGGAACTTGATCAACGTCGATAAAGAAGATTTTTCTAAATGCCTACGTTGCCGACGTTCGTTTTTATATTGACAACTGGATCGAATTATATTGGGTATTGTACCAAATGGCATATTCCACCTGTCGTTTACGTACTATAATTATAAAGAAATCGAAGTAAAACTCCAGAAATCCTCTGGATTCATGCCTTCTGGGGCCCTAATTGACTGCGGGGGGACCCTCTGCGCCATCTGTGATTTCCAGGTCAATTAAATTTTCACTCCGAGACCTGGTATTACCATCGTTTTAGCAAACGCATACAACACTTTTTTTGCCTTTATCCCGTTCAAATGCGAGTTTATCGACTACCAGAGTGTTCTAAATTGTCGTAAAATTGTCCTGACCCTTTCGATTCGCATATCAGAGCCTTCGATAATTGTATATTGATCGAAATATGAGAGCTCGACGCCATTTTGGTTCTAGTCTGGACTGAGTTAAAAAATTTTTTTGAAAAATCCAAATTTTTTATGTGTCAGGACAATTCTTAGATGATCAGGAGTGATGTGTCAAAGTTTCGGACAGTTTGGTCTAATACCCTTAAAAAAAAGTGTTGTATTCGAATCGACTGATTTGAAGGATGTTTCACTTCACCTTAAGGTGACGTTGAAGCGAGAAAGTTGATCGATGGTTACAGGTATGAGAGAAAAAGAGTCCGGCCATTTTTTGTTAAATCTGCAGCTTCTTTGAATCTCAGTGAATAGGATCTCTTCCGTTTTCTCGTTAAGCGGGGTTTTAAATCAGTTTCAGAATGTAGGGCACAGTAATAACTCACCGTACGGAGTGTAGAACTTAATTTCAATTTTGGAAAATATTCTTTCGGGGAAGAAAGAGGCCGCGGAAAATTGCCGGAATTTCTTTCCGCACTTCGGAGTGCATGCGGATTATGTAAAAAATATGCTCTCGTCGTAACAGCCTTTGCCACGCACGTGGGGGATTTCACTATTTGCATGGCAAAATACCTCGGATGCATAATAAAAGTAATTATGCCGAAAGGAAATTTCTTGCATAACTCAATGCACGTCCGAAGTGCGGAACAATTTTACTGTCAGGGTTCTATCCTCAACTCCTTCCGCACATAAACAAATCGGCCCGCAATGATTGCTTCCTTTTTCTGAAGATACCCAACCCTCCAATTACCGGTCATAATTTATCCTCCCTCGACAAATTGTATCGCCCGTTGTAAAGGGGGTGCAGCAAACATTTATTCCCCAATATCTCCGAGCCAAGAAATTTTATTTGCCAAAAAATGGTCCGATTATTTTTCGCAATTGTAACATCGATTCGCAAATTAAAGCGATTAGGACCGAAGGTTAAAACGCCTCGGAAGAAATCCCCGACGCGATTTGCCCAAACAAGTTCGCTCTTCCTCCCCGCGAATAAACAACTTACGGTACGTGTTTACAGCCCCTTAAAGTTCTCGGTGTCCTTACAGGTAAACCAGTGACCAATAAACGTTTTGCGGAGTCTCCGCAATTCTGTCGGCAATCTCGCTCGCACGCCTCGTGGACCTGTCCAAATCTGTCATTCACACGCGAGGGTTATATAAACATAGAAACATACAAACACACACATGTTTACCTCTACTTGTTTATTACTCGCGACGGCCAGGGCCGCTTAGCCGTTGGGTTAATTTAGCACTAATTTGTTAATCCCTTTAACTCTCTCCCCGCGTATAGTCATCTACTTTTAAGTTAGCCTTAAATTCATTTTTAATTCTTTCGAAGCACTTTATTGCGGGTTTTCCTTTTTTAACGAAGCACTTATTGCGTAATGTCTGGATTGCTCCTCAGTTAGCGTCGCCATTTTTGGCGCTATGTCGGCAGATCTGCAATTACACCAGCCGAGGAGCGAGGCTGTCTTCAGGAAGGGAATTACTCTCGCCGCATCTCGGTCGGAGACTATCGACTCGTTAAAGTTTTATCACAATGAGGATTTCTAGGTGCACTCGATACAGTACACGAAGGATCCGTCATCTTCCTAGGAAGATCGCTGGTCGCGGTTCTCCTGTTCTTTGGGGGTGTCCAGAGGGTAAAGGCGAGATGTCCATATATATTTATATATACATACTCGTATGTACATACGAGTGTTTTTTATATATCTATAGATATATACGGCGAAGACGGTTCTATGGCGTCGTCTCCGGAGAATCCCGACTGCTTGAGCGAAATGCCTTCCTTTTTGTTCCTGGTCTCTGAGAAACGACAGGGGATCAACTTCCGAGGGTGTACAAGTACACTTGGCGAGGGCTTCGTCTTCGTCGCTTCCGGTCGCCAGACCGGAAACTACCGACGAAGATGCGATCGACATTCGGGATATCGGGGTTGTTCGATGTTTTACGAACTATTAACGTCTCTTTCTCTCTCGTGATAGGCGAAAGGTTTGTATGCTCCTTCGCAAGGACCATACAGATATGTGTAGTGACTCGAGCTGCGCGAGGAATACAAAGTCTTTTGAGCAATCCCTGACCCTTCTCCCTTCGATTACTCCTACGGGGTCCAGTCTTCGCTAGCTTCGTTTCTTCTTCTTATTCTTCTTTTTTCTTTTTAATTACAACGAGAAAAATATAGCATCTCACTATGCGCTCTGACTCTCGACCCCGGCCAGGCTGGTCTTCGTGGAGGTCCTTGAAGAGGGCAACCGACTTTCTCGAACGCGCGACCTCCGGTCGTTTTTCACGTTTCCTGTCTCCTCTATGGTTGGATATCGTTTCTTTTCCGCGTGGGGCTCTTCTTCGACCTAAAGAACGACCGAAGGCGGTTTTCCAAGGGTCGACGTCCCATGCTGTAGGCGATGTCCAGCTCGTCGTTCCTGGACTCTCGAAAGGGGCTTATATCCTATCTATATACATCCGATTTAATCACAGTCGATGTAATCGTCGGCAATGTATATCGAAGTTCGTCTTTGATACCATGGGTTAGAATGGTGTTACGATTCGGCCCTGCGGAACACTTCCGGAAGCTGATGTCGATGCTGATGGGCACTTCGAAGTCTGATCAGAGATCAGGGAGTTTCGCCTGAATTTGGCGAAGTGACGTTCGCGCGATAAGAATTTTCCAAGCAAAAATCTGATTTTTACTTTAATTCTTGTCGTTTCGAGGAGGTTCTTCCCAAATTTGTCAGGTTCCACTGGAGCCGAATCGTTCCATTCTCCTGAGTGCCACAATTCTGGTGGTTGATAGTTCTCAGATGGGTTTTGATTAGACTTTCGGAATATCCTTCTTTGTTCGCCTCTCCTCTTTCGAATGCTAGAATCGTCCCGTTTGCAATTTGCGTCCAGCTCCCCGGAGAGAAAATAATTCTGCAAGAATTTGTCCTCACTTTAGTCGTTTCGAAGTCTTGCGCAAACAGCCTCTCCGACTTTTAATCATAGCAATTTCGAATCGTGGCAGAAATCATCACTTTGATATGGACAGAACTTTGCTGATTCACATCTAGATGTAGATTTTTCCCCGACTTTGGAAATCCCTTCCTACTGTCTGTTGCACTCTTAACCGTCCTTTCCAACGGGCAAGTTATTATTCCTTTTCGAAGTTGTTCCTGAAGCATAAGGTTACCGAGGGTGCACGGATGCAATTTCCAAGGCTGAGTGCTCAAAGGAGGAAACTTCCAACAAGAACACCATTTCCTTGAGGCCAAAATACCTATACCGAGGATTCCTTTTTCTTCAGAAACCACCCTGGTCATCTTTGCGACCCTTCGAGTTCCGGTTTGAAGAAATCTACCCTGGGTCGTCTACTCCTGGGGTGATGGTCCCACCCCGGTGCCTTATGGAAATCCGATTGACCGTCCCAGTCCAAGAGGAGTAAACTGAAATCCAAGTCTCGATTTGCAAAGGGTAGGTTTTGGAAGGTCACCCTCCAGGTCTTCCGAAGTCCTGAAACGTGATTTCCCACCCCTTCAATCGAATTCCCTGCAAATCGCGTGGTCGAAGAAGAAGAGGGAGAGGTGGTTACCAGGTCTTACAAGGTGTACGGAAGTGCTGGCCGAAAAAGCAATCGATTCGCAGTGATTCGTGTCAACGAGCTTGCAAAATACCATCAATTTGCATCCCTTCATCCCTCTGTTCTCCTGGGGAAATAAGGCCACCCTTGTGCGCAATCCGCGGAATCGGTTCAAAGGAGAGGACCCTTTATGTCGTGGCTTCCATCGAGGATTCAATCTCAGGTGAAAATCGCCCTCCTCTGCTGCACTCCTTGGAGAGGCTTCACATCCTCATCCCCCGGTCCGTTATGACTTCAACAATGGTTCGATGGATCGATCGAAGACCGTCGAACGTCTACGGCGCTCCGATGCCGAAGAGCGAACGTGATAATATTGTTTCTCCAACCTCCAGTGAAACGGGCACCCCGTGAGCTGCCTCTCGAGGAACGCGATCAATCCTTCCTGCTTCTCTCTACTGTACATTTGGCAATTGTCATCCTCCGCCGCCACTAAAAAATAAGGTCGTGTTTTATACACTTCCCACAGCCAGGTACTCGAAGATCACTCTCGACAAGGCGAACGTAGAACCTCTTCGCGTCGTCCAAGATGTCTTCTCCCGTGGATTCAACATTTACATTGAAAGCTGGCCACGCCATCGCTGCATGCCTTCTCCCCGAAAAAGTCCCTCCTCTCCACCAGCACCATTGTCGATCGTTGCCTTTCAGGATCCTTGTTAGGCCTGCTAGCCATTGCTCATTGAAGCCCGCGTCTTCGACCTTGCTCCGGCACCACTTGGTCCAAGTGGTGAATTGGACCTAGCTTTGATCAACGAAAACCCTTTACCGATGGGCTTCCAGAAATGGTCGCCGTCGACGAACCATTGGACTCCCTCGAGATTCACGAAGACAAAGGATGGTCTTCCAAGTTGGATCCCCAGCTTCCTGGAAGTTGGTTGGCGAAGGTTTATCTGGGAAGGTGAAAACGAGGGTCCCGACGTGGAACTCTCCGATTGGGACCTCTCGAGTACTCGGAGACTCATGAGCTGAACTCGGGATTTCTCGTCCCTCGGGATTTCTGGAAGCGGATATCTCCTCGGGCCATCCAAGGGACGAGGATGGAGAGCCAAGTGCGGGTGGCTGGCGTCTCTCTCGTGAGTCCCGGAAGTCAAAGGGCGGATCTTGAGGTGCTCTTCAGGGTCTCCCAAAGTCGACGGGGCTAGGCGGAGCGTTGCGGCGACAGAGAAAGGAGCGGCACGCTGGCAGGGCCTTCCCCGTCGAGCGACCGTCATACCGGCGTCTCGAAAGTTACCTTAAACAAGAATTTGGCTACTTTAGACAAGTCGAGTTTAGGGAGGAGACCTCGAATGAACACATAATTACACCTACGACTCTCTAATTGCGAAATGACGTTCTAGGAGCTGAATGATGGAAGCGATGGAAGTGATGAGAAGCGAATCTGGAAGGTAAAGATCACTGCGACCGACAGCACTCTAACGTGTGTCCATGTGTCATATACTACGTCGAGTGATCGTCATACCGGCGTCTCGAAAGTTACCTTAAACAGGAATTTGGTTACTTTAGGTAAGTCGATTTTAGGGAGGAGTCCACGAATGAACACATAAGTACACCTACGAGTCTCTAAATGCGAAAAGACGTTCTAGGAGCTGAACGATGGAAGCGATGAAAGTGATGGAAGCGAATCTGGAAGATAATGAAGGTCGCTGCGACTGATAGCAGTCTGACGTGTGTCCAAGTGTCACACAATACGTCAAGTGACCGTCATACCGGTGTCTCGAAAGTTACCTTAAACAAGAATTTCCTTGCTTTAGATCATTTGATTCCAGGGAGTTCTCGAATGAACGCGTAATTAGAGATACGAGACCCTAATTGCTGCGAAACGTTCTAGGAAATGGATGATGGGAGTGATGGAAGCGATGAAAGCGAATCTGGAAGGTAAAGAAGATCGCTGCGACCGATAGCACTCTAACGTCTGTCCAAGTGTCACACACCACGTCCATATCAGCGTTAGGCAAAGTGCCGGGGTCTGCTTCTCCCCCAGGAGGGTCGTTTCCGAAAACAATGCCGGAAGAAGGGCTGGAGGCCTCTTGGAACGCGAGAGAAAGCAGCTACTATGCACCTCTTGCAGACCTCTTAGAACTCGTACGGTCAAGTGTCCCTTCAAAGTATTCTCTTCTTGCGCAACAGTTGGACTTTTACTGGTGGACATTAGTACGTCGCGTTTACGGCTTCCAGGCTCCAATTCCCCCTGTTCTTTTCATTTCACCAACGGAAACAAATTTTACTGCACCCAAGAGTTAGACCAAAGCAATGACCATAGGCTTTGAACGTTCCTATCAATGTGCAGCGAAGGCAATATGCAGAGACCGGGCACTGATTGCCAACTTCCGACTATTACGCATCAGGGACGGCAACAAAAGTTCAAACAAATCTTCAATAAACAACCTCTACACTAAAATCAATATCGTTCCTAGAGGGAGCACGCGTATTCACCCTGCTTAAGGGTTAAACGCATTCCACCCTAGATACTGTGCGCTGTGCACCCAGGCACTTGGATCCAACCTTCTCATCTAGGACCACGACATTAGGTCCCTGAACAAATGTCGCGCCCTCAAAGTTAAATTGAAATTCCGAGCAGGGATTTTGACCGAATCATCTTATAAGCCCCGATTTAGTCCTCACCTCCCTGGCCGTCTTCTTGGAGCGTTTCCTCTCCAACTTGGGTGTCTGCGGCAGCAGGGTGTAGTCCCCACCAGTTCCTCCGCTGCGCTGTCTCGTTAGGGGCGGATGCGTCACCGCGGGGATCCTCGGGGGTGGCGAGAATTGGCTCCCCTGGGGCAGTAGGCTGTAGCCCAGGTTGTGGGTCTGGGTGAAGGGCGACGTGGCCGGGAAGTGATTCGCCACCACGGGCGCCCAGTACTGGTGGGAGTACTTCGCCGGAGAGCTTCCTGCGGGGAAATATCGGGTTACGGACCATCGAACAGCCAATTCTCAATCATTTATCGGGCGCGTATTAGATTTCCTACGGTTACGCCCGACTACGTGGGGAGGTTGGGGTGCGACGAACCGCCAAGGGCGGAAGGATGGAAGGAGTCGGGACGTAGTTAAGTGCTCAACGAGGCGACGGACCGGTCAGTCCGGAGGTGCCGGTGGAGGTGGGCATCGATCGAACCGTTTCCACGATATACTGGTATTTACGTGTTGGCGAGTCCCAGTCCAGGGTGGAACGGCAACGAAAGGTGGGAGATTCAGGGATCGACCCCTTTCGATCCTCCCGTCACACCCTGCACGTTAGCGCGATTCCTATCGACACGAAAGGACTCGGCGTCGATAAGGCGACCACGCCTAAGTCGGCCTCGTCGAACCCTTCCACCCAGCATATTCACGGACGAGCGCACAGTTCCTGGCAGAAAGCCTTCCCCGGAACGATTCCAGGAGCCCCGAAAGAGATTCCAGGAGAGGCTTACTGTCGCTCCGGGGATTACTGTCTCTCCTCTGCGCCTTCCAGGTCGTCGATCGCACCCTGCCGGCGGTCTCGGTGTTGACGGCGTCGACGCTGAGGCTCCTGGCGACCCCTCTGTAGGGGTTCCCGGCAGCGTTCTCGTTGGCAGCGGCGATCCCGGCCAGCTGCTCGTTCAGGGCGTACAACTTGGACGTGATGTCCTTGCCGATGAGGGTGTTGAGCACGACCTTCAGCAGAGGCCGGTGCCTCAGAACCCTGAGGAGCTTCAGCCGCGTCCAGCAAATGTAGGTGCTGGACTCCTCGGCGCGCACCGTCACCTGGAACACGTCGTCGATGTTCTCGTGGGTCGCCTCCCATTCCGGAGAGTCGACGAACTGATACGCCCTGACGTAGTGGAGGTGCGTACCGTCGCAAGTCACTTTCAACCTAGAACCACATCGAGTAAGTGTCCTGAAAGCGCAACACCCGGTCACTCGTGCTCAAGCTTCTACGAACGGTCGGACCTCGAAGAGTCTCGACAAGGTCCTGGACCCGGAGTGTTCCTCTACGTATGGAGAGTCTAGCCAAGCAGGGGGTTTCGCTTACTTGCCACGCAGGAGAATCGACAGCCTCTCGTCAGCTGGCGTGACCCCTTCGGTGGCGTAGGTCTGACCAGGATCCAGCTTGAGGATCCTGGCCTCCTTGGCCAGCTCCTGGAAGTGCTTCTTGCTGACCCGGTAGGGCTTGAAGAGCTTCAGGTACAGCTCGGCCAGCTCTGGACTCAGAGCCGGTGGGAGGAACCTGCAGGCCAGGATCAACGAGTGGATGCCGTTCAGCAGACCCAACGCCAGACACCACAGCATCGCGTCCAGCGCGCAGATCGTGATCCCGGCCCACAGGGCGGCCAACATGAAGCCGGCCGTCAGGAAGGTCCTCAGGGCAAGGACCGAGGCTTTGAACGACCTCGGCACGAGGAAGGCCGCCGCGAAGAAGAGGTTGGCTGTCTGAAAATGGGGTAACGCGTATTCCTATGATATCCTGTCGATCACCTCTTATCGTTTCAAGTCAAAATACCGAGACTGCGGCAGAATTAGAGACAAGACGAGGCGAACACTTCAACTAGTTGAACCCAACAGCACTCTAGTCTTTTTTATTGAAACTTGACCTGATGCAGCATTCGACTCGTCACCTCACTAAAATATGTTAAAGGATATATAAGGGGATGTGAAAGTGGCTTTCAAGGGGTCAATCGTTCATAAAAAAAGTCCATAAACAAATTAAAAGAAGTAGAAATTTCATGGGGGTTAGGACTTCTCTTATAGCCTTCGTATCCACGTTGTAAAGCTTGAAACGATTCGATCCCTCTAGTTTGAAGGAAATTTTCATAAACGAGACCGCTTTGATGCTACTTTCACGTCGTTTTAAGTTTAAGAACCTTGTGATCCTTCGGACGGTTCAGTAATTAACGCTTTCTAGAATTAATTGTGCGTTTAAAAATGGGCAAAGTTAATGAAACGTTCAACGTGCTCCGAGGTCCACGGTAGTACCAGTAAATCCTAATTGTCGGGTTAGAATGAGTTCTGCGATGAAGACCGAAATAAATCTTTTCATGCATTTTCGTCAGGCATTCTAAATGGTCCTTCCTGGTTCCAAAGGGTGTACCATCTACTCGAGAATACCGCTACGCCGGAAGAGGAGGAAAACTCGTGAAAAAAGCGGAACTGGGTGGGCGGAGGTTGGAGCCGAGTTCTTCCGCTCGGTGGTGGCTGCTCTAAACCACTAAGCTCTCCACGCCCCCGTCGTTCCCTCGGCAAATCGTCCTCTTACATATTTCCAGTTCCAGGGCAATATTTATCCTCTTATCCCCCCTGCTGGCTCTTATACAATTCGAATTCAATAGACATCCTGATCTGACGTGAACCTGCCGGGAGATTTCCAGGAATCTGGCGCCATCGAAACCCTCTGAAGGATTATTAGCGACATGGCGATACCGACCTAGGAGTTTAATGCGAGCAGGGAAATGATTACGAAAATATCCACCTTTGTTGTCGAAACTGGATTAACCGGGAATCCCCCCAAGTTAGGTAACATCCCCTCGGCCATGTGCAAAAGAACCAATTTAAGACGCGAAAGGGACAACGCTAAGGTCGCCAAAGTTGCGCAATTCGGGTAGCTGGAAAAGCTCGTGGTGTATTTCTGTAACAGTCTCCTCCATTCCCACCTCAGGGAAAACTAAGGAATGAAAATCGATACCGGAGCCGGTGCAGTGGTGTGTTGGGCTTTGGACTCTTGGGTCTCCTAACTTCCAGTGATGGGAAAATCTTGGATTCTGGTCCAGATAGCTGGCAAATGTAAACTCGGAACCGCAGCTGCGATACGTTCCCCACGTAATCCAGGTAACTAACAACTAATGTGATCAATGATAATGGAAGGGGCAGAGAACATCACGCACCACTAAGCCAGTCGAACTGCTGCGTGCACTGTTCTCAGGATTGCAAATTCAATACAATTATACATTATGGCGTAACGATTAAACGATATAACACTGGCGTCGGTCGGACGTGTTCCTGAAACGTGCTCTCAAAATTGAAACGTCCAGGAGCTCTATTTCCGCGTAAGCCGGATTACCTACAAATGTTACATGCCCGATGCCCATCACGCATTATCGGGTTATTGAGGCAGATCACGGATAATTCTACAGACAGCTACTTGGCTAGGAAGCGCGTTTGCCGAGGCAGTGGTAATCTACATTAAAACGCTTTCTACTGTCGAAACGTATTCCCCATCCACAGACCATCAACAACGTCCACCACAGCTGCATCTCACAGCCCAATGGTTATCGGGATATTGTTGGGCTATGCATTGGACGTTGAAGGCTGCGCCTTGGTGCCTTTCGGCAAATGGATCGAACGTTTCGATGATTCGTCGAATCATCTCTGCATACCGCACACCAAAGACCCACACTGCAAGCACGCAGCATTTATTTCCCCACGCAAAGCGTTTAATGGACTGACGTGCTTGTTGTGTGCGTAGATGCACCACAAACACATTGTGCGTTGAAGTCTCTTGGAGCATTTTGTGCGTTGGATTTGAATGCGTTGTATTGCTTGCTGTGTGCGTAGATGCACCACGAACACACTGTGCGTTGAAGTCTTTTTGGAGCATTTTGTGCGTGGGATTTGAATGCGTTGTATTGCTTGCTGTGTGCGTAGATGCACCACGAACACATTGTGCGTTGAACGTCTCTTGGAGCATTTTGTGTGTGCTTATTGTATGTGTCTTTGGTGTGTGGTTTGAAATAGTGTTAGTACAAATGGAGACTTCACCTGGAAGAGCTTGTGCTGCGCCGCTTCCCACTCGTCGCAGTAGCCTCCAGGAGTTAAGGCCGTGGCGTTGAGCCTCTCGGTGACGTTGCTGACCTCGGTGCTGTTCCAGACGTCCACCCAGAGTCCGGTGTAGTTGAGGTCGTTCAGGGAGTAGCCCCCTAGGTTTCCGAGGCCGGTGTAATTGACGCTGTAGCCCTCGGTGGGGTAGCTCGCCGTCGGAGAGCTGGAGAACGTCGGCGTCGTAGATGACGTCGACAGCAGACTCGCGGACGTGGAAGCGTCGCTCGTATTCGCCATCTTTCGTCGCGGCCGCGCGGTTCGTGCCATCACCTTCTTCGCCTGTAATCAATCGGGTCTTAATTAAGCCTAACCACCCTTGCACCACTTCCTAAGCGCCCAACAACTCTGATAGAAATCTGATATCCCATAGCAGTCCCCTGTAGCAACCCTGTAGTCCAATATTATCAATTGCTGACCAATATTGAGGTAATACAATGCATCACGTCTCAGTATATATTACATCTAATATATCAGTACTATAGGATAAATGTCACGATTAGTCCTGCAATATTCCAGCAATATTCGTAACATTTACCCGCTGGATGAACTCCAGTTTACCAATACTGCTCTCAATGAGTATTGCTACGTGGGGTGGTTCTTAATTTCTTCGAAGTTAAGAAACACCTTTGATTAGACGGAAAGTTTGCTGAACTTTAATTTCATTAATGTCATATAACTAGGAATAAAAAACGTGGAAATGAATGCAAAATATGCGGAACAGCTGTAGGTTGGCGAAAGGGTTATGAACCCTGTTGTGGGGCATTGTTGCGGGGTGCTTAAGCTAGGAATAGCAGGATACGGTCTCGGACTGAGACGTGCACCAGGGCAACTGAAAGCAGTTGGGTAGGTCAATTTCGAGGGAATCTGTTGCGGAAAACGTGCGCAATATCTATCGACTCCAGGAGAACGTGCTCCAGTTGTTCATCGGCGCTTGGGCGGGGATTATTCCAAGCCACGCAACCCCCGATCTGGTAACGAGCGTAATGTATAAACGTAATACTTGGTTCCCTTCTTCCAGGATGGCTGCGGTAGATCATCTCCGGGCGTGAGGGAGGGAAGGAATCAATCCCGAAAAACATTTCCAATATCCAGCTGGCCGGGGACCGCATCGAGTCCCTTGATATAAAGCGCTCGCTCCGTTCGGGTGGAACAAAGCCTGCAATCGCGAGGGTGGAAATGGGAATTCGTAATGTACACAGAGCGGGATATCCGCGTCTGAATTCCGCGGTTTCCCCGCGTTTACGTCTAGTTTGCCTAATGGGTTATCCAGCTCCAAAATCCAGGAGCTGGGTGAGGTCCTCCGCTTCCTGGGGCTCCAGGACCCTCGGAACTCTTCGGTAGGACGTCGACTCGTTTCCGACAGAAAATCGCATCCCGGGTTCCTACTCGGCTCGCTCGGAACTGGGCCAACTCGTTCACCGAGGAAAATGCAAATGCAAATCCCTCCTCGATGGTGCCTCGACATTGAATCGGCCCCACCGACTAGGCAGCCAACGATCTTTATTATGTTCTGTTTGTTCATGTTAAATATCACGTGACACACTCGTAGAATCGCTGTGCAACTCAATCTCAGCTGGAATTAAGTACCACGTAGTTAATTCAAGGTCGTGGGAACGAGGAGTCCTAGGAAGAGGTTGGAGTTGGTTGGAGTTCGAGGGGAACTGGGTGTCCTGGAAGTTGACTCGTCGCCATTCGGCGACCTACGATGGCATTGTTAAATTGTATCGGGTATTTAAACAGCCCTAGAATGGCGCCAGAGGACTGAATAATTAAGGGACTTTATCGCGCGTTGCAATATCCTCGCAAGTGGATGAGTACTTCGGTGGCAAAAGTACGCGGAAAGGGATTACGGTTCCCTGGGGCTCTGGTCTGGCTGGGAAGCTCTCAAATGGAGATTCAGAGCCCTTTATCCTCTTTACGAGTCTCGAGGAGGAATCATAGACTTCTAAGGTAGGTCTGTGCGAAGAATAGAAATAGTCTTCAGGGTCGAATCGGTTTCGCAGGTGGCCTATTGGATCCTGAAGTCGGACGTCCACCAGGACCTCGCTGGTCTCAATTCTACCTATCCTCCTTCCTTCTCCATTCCACCGTCTCTCCAATCCCGGTAATTAAATAATCGTCCTTTAGATCCTGGTTGAAAATGCAATCACGCAATTATCCTCCAATTATTGACTGGTGAAACTTCTTTCAGATCATTTGCTAGTTTCCCAGGAAGTTATCCTGGAGGGAACCGTCGACTGAAGGGAGCGTTAATTAGAGTTAATTAAAAACTTGGGATTAATTCGTCGCCTTGGACGGCTTAGAGCCGACAGCCCGTGTCGATACAAAGTCCTGGATAAAGGACCCCGCTGGAGCCCGGAAAATGAAATTTTCCTTCCAAGTATCCTTGTTGCTCCGCGAACTGGGGTACGTGTTCCCAGGGAATGCGAATGAAAGCGAGAAAAGTGGAAGTCGTCAACCAGCTCGCTTCCTGCCCAAGTGTTGATGGTCGTTCTACAGAGACTCTGGAAACTGGTCGTTCTCTTCGGTCCCTGGGTTTCCGTACCTTGAAAGGGTCCACACCTTGAAAGAAGTCCACTGCCCTCGTTCGTCCGGCCAAAAGAAACCCGGGGCCGTCTTCAAAGGCGTATTCGAAGGAACGCGTTCAGGAGAAACTGTTTTTTTCAACCTCGAGAAGCAACATTCACTCGTCATCCAGCGCTCATGCGGACAGTCTTTAAGGTGAAGTGAAACATCCTTCAAATCAGTCGATTCGAATACAACACTTTTTTTTAAGGGTATTAGACCAAACTGTCCGAAACTTTGACACATCACTCCTGATCATCTAAGAATTGTCCTGACACATTAAAAATTTGGATTTTTCAAAAACATTTTTTAACTCAGTCCAGACCAGAACAAAAATGGCGTCGAGCTCTCGAGCTCTCATAATTCGATCAATATACAATTATCGAAGGCTCTGATATGACAATCGAAAGGGTCAGGACAATTTTACGACAATTTAGAACACTCTGGTAGTCGATAAACTCGCATTTGAACGGGATAAAGGCAAAAAAAGTGTTGTATGCGCTTCTTTGCTAAAACGATGGTAATACGAGGTCTCGGAGTGAAAATTTAATTGACCTGGAAATCACAGATGGCGCAGGGGGTCCCTCCGCAGTCAATTAGGGCCCCAGAAGGCATGAATCCAGAGGATTTCTGGAGTTTTACTTCGATTTCTTTATAATTATTGTACGAAAACGACAGGTGGAATATGCCATTTGATACAATACACAATATAATTCGACCCAGCTGTCAATATAAAAACGAACGTCGGCGACGTAGGCATTTAGAAAAATCTTCTTTATCGACGTTGATCAAGTTCCTCGACATGTTTCACTTCACCTTAAATCCCGACATACCACCCGGAAATAATTGACTTCTCAGCTACTTCTCGATTTCCTCGTTCTATAAATTCTCCAATTTCCTCAAGTTCTTCTAATCATACTCTCCAGTTCTGAGGGCGTATATAGAGTTGCCTAATGACTTCAACAGTTTTTGCCAAAAGCCGAGAATTTATACCTGCGAGAAATGTTGCTTTTCTAACAAAGTTATCCTGTTATCTCATGACACATGGGACCATTAAAAGTTTCATGGTCCAGGAGGATACGTCGTGTAACGTACAGTAGAAATAATTGGAAACCGTAATGAACTGTGCCAGAGTATGTTTTGTTTATTGGGGGTGGGGAGGTATAGACAAAAATTATGGGGTTTGGGATTTCTTCCCATATGCAAGTTCATCACGCGAATCTGGTGGGAGTCGAACATTGGGCATGTACACCGATGTGAGGAGGACGTAGTAAATAATTGTACATACCCATTTGCGAATTTACCGCAGTATTTAGGTATTTACATAAGCCAGAGGTCGGTCGGAGAGAACTGGAAAATGGATAATCCGACTCTATCTCTGTCATGGAAAGTAACCTTCTAACTGATTGGACCATATACATGTCAACTTGAGAGATACACTGCCGCAATTTCGGGCCACCAAATCCGCGCCCGTGGCCAAAAACAGCGTAAGTCTGTTATATGGAATTCTGCACGGCGAAATGCAGCTCAAGATGGCGGACGGAAAATCCGAAGAAAAAAAAAAAAAAGAGAATAATGAACGAGAGAAATATTTCACGCGGTTATGTGGGATTTTCTGGAACTTTAAGGTGAAGTGAAACACGCCGAGGAACTTGATCAACGTCGATAAAGATTTTTCTAAATGCCTACGTTGCCGACGTTCGTTTTTATAGCTGGGTCGAATTATATTGGGTATTGTACCAAATGGCATATTCCACCTGTCGTTTTCGTACAATAATTATAAAGAAATCGAAGTAAAACTCCAGAAATCCTCTGGATTCATGCCTTCTGGGGCCCTAATTGACTGCGGAGGGACCCCCTGCGCCATCTGTGATTTCCAGGTCAATTAAATTTTCACTCCGAGACCTCGTATTACCATCGTTTTAGCAAAGAAGCGCATACAACACTTTTTTGCCTTTATCCCGTTCAAATGCGAGTTTATCGATTACCAGAGTGTTCTAAATTGCCGTAAAATTGTCCCGACCCTTTCGATTATCATATCAGCGCCTTCGATAGTTGTATATTGATCGAAATATGAGAGCTCGACGCCATTTTGGTTTTGGTCTGGACTGAGTTAAAAAATTTTTTGGAAAAATCCGAATTTCGAATGTGTCAGGACAATTCTTAAATGATCAAGAGTGATGTGTCAAAGTTTCGGACAGTTTGGTCTAATACCCTTAAAAAAAGTGTTGTATTCGAATCGACTGATTTGAAGAATGTTTCACTTCACCTTAAGTTTCTTCTTGGTTATTAGATGGATGCCCCTTCATAGAACGGACTATTTTCATTTTATTCTATTTTTTACGTTACCTTCGCAAACTCAAGATGCTCGAGATAAACGAAAAACTTCCTTAACAAATAATTTTCACGTCATCCAAGCATGGCCACCTGTAGAAGTAGATTTTCTTAGTAATAGTTGCTTTTATATGTAGCGTCAGTAATTTGAGGATGTTTTGGCAATATAGGTATCGAGTAGTTCAGGGAAAAGACGAGACATCCTTGTTCGAGGATCAAGACATCCTTGGTCGAATCATGTTTCCTGGACCACGCGCTAACTTTTCTGAGCACAGGTCAGTACCCGGAAGTTAAGTCGAGTTTTTGTACAAAACAGTCCCTGATGTTTCCTAGCCGCTTCCGGTGGGGACTTTTCGCGGGAATTCAAT